CTCTTTAACATCTGCACTGACCGCTGGCAAATTAGGTTCCCTTGGAGGGCTGGGTCCCTGTGAAAACCACCACGACTTGCCCAGCAAAGGCCAAAGCTGTTTCCGGAATGCCAGTTTTCTTGGCATGAGCTGTGAGAGAGGGAGAGAGATGCTTAGTGGACGTTGAAGGATCTGTGGCCGGCCTCAACTGCCCACTGGAGCTGTGGGGGGAGTGGAGTTGGAAACCCGGGTCAGAGTGCAGTCCTGGAACATGGAAAGGGGCCGAAATGCCCCAGAACATAAGGAGAAAGCCCCCCCGCAATTCCTAGGATCCACTTGTTTTTTCCTGCCACACATTCACAATTTGCACATTTTACTTTTACAGATGCAGATGTGTGGACACCACTATTCCTGCCTACGGTTAACTGGGGTCTTGTAATTCCATCCCAACTAGAAGAAACTGATTCATGGCTCATGAGATACCATGCTTTTAACATCAGTGGGCAGACCGGGGGGCAGAGATGCCCCATGGAGACATTCTGCTTTCTTCCAGGGTGACTGGACGAAGCAGAAGGAAAAGCAACCGCAGTTTTCAACCTTCTTCCCAAACTTGGAACCTGCAGCCTCCAATTTTATTTATTTTATAACATCTAGCAGCCACCTGGCTTCAAACCACCCCAGGCGGCTTACCCTGTAAAAAGTAGAGTACAATAAAACAGAGGAAAGCAGAAACATGCACGTCCAGAAAAAGCATACATTACACACCAAAGAAACCACCGACAGGGGCTTGACTTCCCCCCCCCACCTCCCCACTCCAAGGCTTGGAAGAAAAACCAGGTTTTCGAGGACTTTTGGAATATCATATTCCTCAAAAGCCACTTATCCACGAACTTTTTGCTCTTTGCAAAGCAAAACGCTCCCGTCTGCTTGAGAAGCCGGGAGAGGGAAAGAGAAAAAGGCGATTCAAGGCTTAGCTTAGTCTGAGTTGAAGGTACACTCAGAATTGCCCTCCCAAACCTGGAAGCCGGGCCAAGCCCTCCCTGCGCCCCCCCCAAATTACCAGCCGCCTCCATCTGCAACTCAAAAGCCAACGCGGACCAAGCAGAGCGGCTCACTTCTACCTGAGACAAAAGACACAACTTGGAAATGGGGCCAGGAGGAGGAAGGCCGCGTGATAAAAACCAGAGTTTCTCTGGCCAGTGGGAAAAGTCTGTTTTTTGCTGCCAGTCGTGGGTGCCCTGAGACGTGGTTCCAAAAGGGAGAAGGATCCCCTCTGTGAGGAGCAGAAATTAGCATTGTTCACACCATCGTTCCTGGCAGGGTTTAAAATGGAGGGACGCCGCAGCCCCAGCATGGGGGCCATCCGGGAACCCCCCCAGCCCCACCTTTGAGGTAGGAGGAAAGCCAAGTTTTGACCACGGACAGGAGCCGCATCAGACTAACCGAGAAGATGGCGACAGTCCCACAGCTGTTCTCCAAGGCAAAGGGTGGGGCGTCCTCAGTAATTAAAACAAATTAATTGCATCTAACTGAGGCGTTAATAGGAGGGCATGCTGAGATTTTGTGCCTCTGGCGCCACAGCGCCTCGATGCTTCCTACCGGTTAAAAGATGAAAACCTGATCGGGGACCCTGCTGACAATGGCGCCCAGGGTTTCTCCCCAGACAGATCGAGGGCTGCAGAGCGCGGGTCCGGACGGAGGCCGGCACGATCCCACCTGGAAGGCTTGGATGCCGATCGTGCCCTGCAATCGGCTACACTTGCCCCGAACCTACCTTGTAGGGGTGCAATGGGGAAAAAGCACAGGGGAAGCAGAGGAAGGCATTCCCCACAAAGCCCCCTCGCCAGCCTACCAGCGTGGCCCAAACACAGGACAAACCCTGGTCTCTCACCCCCAGACCCGGCTACCAGCTGCCCAGGACCAGCATTGGCAAGGACTTGGGAAACGGCAGTTGAAAATATTCCCATGTGCCACTTCGGGTAATTAGCCACTTAGCCCCTGGAGACCGTCGCAGGGCGGGCTCCCCAAAATAATGAGCCCAACCCACCTGCTTTGCTTCGCGCCGGCCCTCCAATATCGACCCCCAAGAGAGCTCAGCAGGACGATGCTGGGGAGAGGCTCAGGTGGTCTGCTGCGGCGGTGGCCGAGAGGGGCAGGGGGCACGGGCCTCCGTGGGGGGGGCAGGGGACCTCCTCCGCATCATGACATCAGTGCACAAATGACGGGAATGCACTTGTCTCATCTGTCCAAAGACATCATGAGACATGTGACATCCTCGTGGCTTGTACCGGACGGGGAGGGGGGTAAGTGCGGAGGGAGGG